GATAACATCTATTCGATAGGCTTTGATTTCTCTGAGTATAGCTGAGTGAAAATCCCATATTTTCAGGATTTAGGGATTTTTTATTTGGGGTTTGTATTTGGTGAGATATGGACTGATTTTCACTATTTTGGTTTATGTTTTGCACTATTCGGCCACTGTTGATGACAAAGGCGGCTCGAGGACTCACCGGCGACAGCTCACGCAGCGGTCTGGGGAAGTTTGAACGTTGAAGGCGGCGGCGGCTAAGGTTGTTGATGAGTTTAGGGTTTTGAAACCCTAATTTAAGCGGGCTCTCTTAATGGGCTCGGGTCGGATCCAACATGGTCTGGGTCTTGTAATTTAAGTCTGGGCAGCTGGGTCATCTAATTTTGGGCCTCGGTTGTAACAGATCACTGGTGGGCTTAGGGATTAGGGCTGCAAAAATATATATGTAACATAATTAATAATAATAATAATAAACATAAACATAATAATAATAATAATAAATTGAAAAAAGATCCGGACAAAAACGAGTATCTACACATACAATCTGCAATAATTTGGTAAAGAAATAGTGACTTTCATACATAAGCATCAAAAGCAGCTATTACAAAATATGGTGAAATTTTATATTGAATAAATTTATAAATCAATGATGTTCTAACAAATATCAAAAGGCCAGTTAGACCCTAAATGCATACAACTCGACAATTTGAACATTTAGAAACATGAAATTGCTGAGCGCTGGCTTCTGCAAACTCACCTCCTGGAAAACCTTGTATCCTTCAGAGTCCTATTCGTTTTGGTCCCCTTGATTAACAATGCCCGTTCTCTCTCCTTCTCCCGCAACTCTTCTAGTGTCTTCTTCCCGGTTTTCCTTCCATCATCCTTCTGCACTCTTTCTGACCTGTCATTGCCATTCCCCTCTTCAACATCTACATTCCGCTTCTCCAGGTACCATGGCAACTTTACTCCCTTTCCAGCAACCCCCATAACCCAATCTATACTTCTCGTCTTCCGGCGCCACAACCTTGGGTGTAGCCTCCTCTTTCTTCAATTTCTTCCTCTTGAACCCATCTTTCTCAGCACCCTCTTCCTTCCCCGTAACTTTAATGGGATCAAAAATCTTAATCCCTTCAAAGAGATTAATGTGACCAGATTTGGGTTCGGATTCAACAACCTCTTCAGGCTCTTCAGCAGCAGTTTCTGAACCTCCAGGTTTACTTAATGGAGCCAAACCACGAGCAGCCCGAAGCTGCTCAAGTCGGAACTCGGCATCCCTTTTCCTTGCCTGTTCACGTTTTAGCTGCTCTTCTTTTGCAGCAGCTTCTTCATCTTTCCGTACTTTCTCTGTTCTCGTAGTTATAAACATTCCAACGTTTCTGGGGTAAGATGTTTAACCTCCATGACCTCCCATAGCAACTCAATTCTAAAATTCAATGGAAAATCACCAGCGTATAGTTTAGTAGGTTTAAAAATCGGAATTTGGAGTCGACATAAAGCAATAGCCGGATGTAAACTTAACGCGGAAACTGAACTTAGGTTTGAACTTACAAACAAGAAAAAAATTAACAAGAACAGGAATTTCAGATCGAAAAGCAATTGGTAATGTGAAGCAATCGAATTTCAAAACAACAGAAACCAGATTGTAATTAAGGTATTTAATTAATTTATTGGGACTACAATTATACCCAAAATTGAATGTATTGATCCAAGAATAAGATGAAAAAGTGTGCTTACCTTTTTGCTACTTAACGATGATTGAAACAGGGGCCTCCTGCTTTGCGAATCAATCGAAACAGATAACCTTAATTCTTCTCTTTTTGGCAATCAGAGAACCCTAATTCACAGCCGATGGATAAAATTAGGAATATATTTCGGCTTATTAGATTAAATGAGATGTTGCAAAATAAATATGATAAAATGTTTTAAACATATCTAAACTACTCCTTTTTTACCCACAAATTTATTATATTTAATATTAAAACATATTAATAATATGGTTAATTACCCCATTCATACTTGAAGTATACTCAATTCTCAGTTTCATATATAATGTTTAAAAAATTTCGATTTCATACATGATGTTTTATACCGTTAACAGGTTCACTCATTTCTGTCACAGAAGGTGACGTGGAACCCTTAACAAAATGACACGTGAAACTTCAGAAATGGGTGACGGGAATGCCACGTGGCACCCATTTAAAGTGTCATATCACCTTCCGTCACAGAAATGGGTGAACCAGTTAACGATAGAAAACATCATGTATGAAATCGAGAATTTTTAAATATTATGTATGAAACATAAAATTAGGTATAGTTCATGTATGAATGAGGTAATTAACCCTTAATAATAATATAAAGTATTTAAAATAAAGTACACAAATATTTTTCGATTATAAGATGTTGTTTTGTTAAGTCCAAATTATTAAAAGTTATAAAATGATTATCTTACTATTCATATGTTTTTAAATTGTCATTTTTTTTATAAAAATTGAATGTCATCTGAACTGTACGTTAACCTGTTGAATGAATATGATAAAATTCGATTTCAAAATTATTTGAGAAAATAATTTTTAATAATAAAAAATTTAAGAAAACAACTCCGTATGATCAACTATATGTGTACCTTTACCATATACACCGCAAACCGTGTGGCGTTTTGACTGCATTAACAAGGCCGCTAAATTAAGGGATTGTTTGTTTACTTCAGAATGATTAATTGTTGAATGATTCAAAGGTTCTGTATGAATTAGCTTTGAATGTGACATGCTGTTTGATAATAGCTCTGAATCATTCAGAATGTACTTTGATGCTGAATCATTCAGCACTATTTTGTTGAATCAGTATTCAACGCTGAACAAACAGCCCCTAACTTTTGGGAAAAAAATGAATAAAGAATAAATTAATATTAATTAGATAAATAACAGCATCAGCCACTAAATAATTCAGAATCAAGGTTATCAAATTTGAATAAGATTCCTTGGGTTAACCAATTTTAATTATCATTTTTACCCTTAGCACCACTAGCAAAAAAAAAATTCAAATCCTCACTAATCAAAGTTCCAAAACAGTAATTAAACTTGAAAACAAAGACGAACAGAGACCTTAGAAATTCAATGGCGGAGGGTTATATATATATGTATGTATGCATCCTCAACACAGTTAAACATCGGGAAGAAGATGGTCAAGCTTGGGTGCGGCATCGACGGGGTCCTGAATGAAGCCAAGTTCAGTAAATCACTGCCTTGGATTGGTGTCTACATAGCAGCGGCGTCTCTCACCTGTGCGGTGGCTATGGCTGCCGACGTTATCCATGGATTCCGCCATTGGAAACTCTGGTTCCCTTGCAAATTCTTCACCATCAACGTCACTTCCTTGATAATAATAACCGTGGCCGTCAAACTATCGGTTTGAACACTCTCATGCCTCGGGGACAAGATCAGCTCACGAAGCTCAGCAGCACCGCCTTGATCTGTACAGTAGTGGGTAACTCTATGCCTTCTAGGAACTATGGAGAACAAAGAAATACTTACCAATATTATAACTTTGGGTATACTTGTGATTACCGTTGTGGAACCTATCCACGGTCCTTCCAAATATTAGGGTATCCTAATATCTTCTTATCTTCGTTGGGAAGTCTAGTTTCAAAGTTTATTATTTAGAATTTTATTTTAGTAGTTGTCTCGTGATCAATATGAAAGTGTCGAAATCATGTGGTTTTTAAAAATGGAAATCTTGATCTTAAACACTTGTTCTTTATTTTTATATATAGAGTGACTGCATGATTTTCGACGAAATTTCTTAATTTTTCAATTCTCTTAGATTGCCTTGTTGGTGACGAAGTTAGCTAATTCAAATAATCCGTCCATGAAGATAAATCTCTCAATGGTCTCGTGGTGTCCCCCACCCCTGGGTTTCTTCAAAATTAATGTGGATGGGGCAGTGAGCCAGTGACAAGTGATTTAAATAGTAGTGGAATTGGTGGTATCCTTAGAAATGAAGAGAGTAAGATTATGGGTTCATTTTCGGCATCTACCGGTCCAGGTCCGCCTATCTTAGCTGAGGTGAAGGCCATTCAAGCTGGTTTAGCTTTGTTTGTGAAATCAGAATGGTGTGATAGGGGTTGTTAATTATACTGATTCTGCAATTGCAGTGAAATAGATTAAGACTCCGAAATGTGTCCTACCGTGTTTTCACAACTAGTTAAGGAAATTGTCAGTGTTGTATTGGAACATAGTATTATTATAAGGTCTGTAAAAAGGGTTGTGAATTGAGAGGCTGACAGTTTGGCTAAGTCGAGTATAGGGTAATTGTTTAGTAATTTTGTTTGGATGATGTGTTTGTAGGGTGGGTGGAGGTTAAGTTGGGGGTGATGTTGTAACAGCCTGTAGTTGTATAAGGTGTAATTCTTTTTGGAATAATATTTGAGGTATTCTTTTCTTTCTTCCGATGTCCCGTTGAAGAACTTTTGTATAGCGGTGGGTATGAAGGGGATTTTTAATGAGGCTTAGTTTCTTATAAAAAAAAGCTTGGTACTGGTGTCATCTTTGTGTTTGAGTTGGAGCATGTTGTCATAATGTTTCTCATGCTTGTTTTGCTTGTTGTTTTAAGCTTTTCGGCTTTGACTGTTCCGACGATTAAGCACTATTTAGAACTTAAATACAAAAAGAAGTATGAAATGGCTCAGAAAGAATGCTCGGTGGCGAATGAAACCAACAACTCATTAGAAGATAAACTCAGAGAAGCGTTGATGAGATATTGGATGATGACTTATACTTGTAGTCCTCAGTTTGTTATTGGCAGATCAGTTACATGTACTGCCTCGGGTGCCTTATGTCTGTTGAGTGCTGCGACATTAGCCGAAGCCATGGTTCGATTTTATCTGATGCTGGGTCTTTTAAGTTCTGCAAGGGGGATTCTGATTATAAGTGGTCAATCAATTTAGTGTTACTTACACAGGCCGTTGCAGTTGGGATGGGTAAATTGCCCCTGCAATAAGATGGTTTGCTATTAATTTCATGTGTCCAACCAGAAGCAAGAAGAAAGGTAACAACACCATATGGTACAAACTAGAAGAATACTGGATTAGGACATTGGTGGAGATGAAAGAGTGCCCATTGAACATACCGGTACGTAATAGATTATGCAGGAGAATTGTCCATGATGCAAAGGTCAAATTTCTGAGCTTGTGTATTGGGATTCAGGCTGGAATTGTGTTCATCAGCAAAGTAATTCGTTTAATCTCGGTTTATTTTATGGGTGGGATTTTGTTATGTTACGACCGCTGTAGAGACCAGCTGATGAAATTCACACCTGATAACAGCATTGGGAATGACTCAGGATTAGAGTTACCCCATATCACAAAGCTAGATCTCAGCCATTTTGTTTTGCATCTCGAAGGTGAAGATTCGCTGGTTGAGGTAGTGATGAAGGATAATCGAGATGCTACTGATTACTGGAGGCGGAAAGCAAAGAAGAAACAACCAAAATATTTCATGGAACTGTTGGAACTATCAAGACCTTGTGAAGGATTCAAGGGACTTACCGAGTTTGATAGTTTCAAAGTACCCTCTCTAGATACCGAAGAAGCTCCAAATTGTTGGTCTCTTTCTTTGGTGCACTGACTAGCATCGTAATTGCAGTTCCAAACATCGAAAGCTGCTCGATCAAACGTCTTATAGCTGGAGTAAATGAAGGTTTGGTGTATGTCAGAAACATAGAGGACATGCAAGGGAATCTTGTAAACGTCAGGAAGGTTGCGGATGTTGTGTGGCTATGAGTCGAGTTGTATCATAGGTGGCTAAATGTGGACCTTTTGCAAACTGTCTCTCCAAGGAAAAAACACAAATGAAATAATGGAAATACTTTCTGATTCAGAAAAGAATATATTCATGGAGTTCAAGAAGTGCAATGCGAATCTGTGCCTACTGGATGACCCTTCAAAGTGGCCTATCAAGGTATTGGCTGCTAATTCCATGTATAGAATATGCCAATCCATTCTGCTAGACTACGAAGCCAAAGATTACAGGATCACGGAAAGATTATTCGAAGCCATAACGGTGATGGTTTCTGATACATTGGCTGCTTGTCTCACCAACTTAAAGCAGTTCATTACGATCAAGTGTTCGACCACCACGATAGAAGAAAGGGAAAAAAGTGTGTGACATGCAGCTCATGTTCTGGGGAAAACTGAAGCGATTCTGAAACTCCTCCATAAAAAATCACTTCCTGGCTTGAATCCAGATAAAATGGCCGTCATGGACGAATGACGATCATTTCATAAGCTGAACAATTCTTTGTATGATACTCCAAGTTCTCAGTTAGCTTCCCCTGCTCCCTATGATGTATACCTAACTGTTGACTAAATGTTTGGAGGCCAGAACTAGCATTTAGCTTAAGTATAATTTGTGTAAATGCCCTTATCAGTGGCTAGTCTCAATGTACATTATCGTTTTGTAACCAATAGCGGGACACTGTCCTTTCTATTAGTTTTAATGCAAAATTATTAGTTGTCATGCAACTAATAATAGTTGTATAATGCATAATAATGGTTCATAATGCATTGTAAGCTGTCAACAATAATGGTTCATAGGTGGCACTAATAATGGTTGAAAAGTGACATGACACAATCTCACATTTAGTCATTGTAATTTAGGGTATTTTCAAGATTAGTCCTTAAAGCTTCTACTATAAATACCCTAGCTCATTTAGCTTCAAAACCATCCCAAAGCATTCTAGCTTTCTTCCAATACTAGAGATAATTTAGAGAGTTTCTTGAGAGTTGTTTTTTCCTTTTTATAAAGAGAGAATTATCATTGTTTTCTCCTTGGTAAATCGAGAGATGTTGTAATTCCTATTTTCTCATAATGAAATTGTTCTACCGTTGCCCGTGGTTTTTACCCTATATTATTTAGGGGTTTTCCACGTAAATTTTGTGTCTTCTTTATCTTTATTTTTATTTTCTCAAATTATCAGTTGCGATTTTGCTCTATCCGATAGTCGTCTTCCGCAACAATTGGTATCCGAGCCAGATTTGAGTGTGTAATATCTGCTTATTTTCTTTGTGGATGCCACCAAAAGGTGGATCCTCCAACATAAGAAAGTAAGAAGGTATTACCCATTCTTTGAAGGTTCTAGAGAAATATTCACGATAGTGAAATAGTGGGAGCTATCCGTAATAGAAGCTATGGCAACGAAATTTGATATTGAAAAATTTAATGGGAGAAATTTCTCATTGTGGAAATTGAAGTTGAAGGCCATCCTGAGGAAAGACGGTTGTCTAGCAGCTATCAGTGAAAGGCCGGTAGATTTCACAGATGACAACAAATGGATCGAAATGGACGGGAATGCTATGGCAAACTTTCATCTAGCATTAGCAGATGAAGTATTGTCAAGCATCGAGGCCACATCATTGCACAATAAAATTTTCCTTAAGAGGAAATTGTACACTCTCCGGATGTCAGAATCTACTTCAGTGATGAAGCACTTAAACACACTGAACACTTTATTTTCTCAGCTTACATCCTTAAGCTGTAAAATAGTAGAACAAGAACGTGCTGAACTTCTACTTCAAAGTCTATCGGATTCGTATGATCAACTCATCATCAACTTGACAAACAGTAATATCACCAGTCTAGTCTTCAATGACGTTGCAGTCGTTGTTCTACAAGAAGAAAATCGGCGCAAGAACAAGGAAGACAGACAAGTAAATCTGCAACAAGCAGAAGCATTGACAACGATGAGAGGGAGATCAACAGAACGTGGCCAAAGCAGCAGTCACAAACATGGTAGATCGAAGTCAAGAAGCAAGAAGAAGAATTTAAAGTGCTACAACTGTGGAAAGATGGGTCACTTGAAGAAGGATTGTTGGAGTCTAAATAAAAACTCCAATCCATAAGGCAATACTGCAAACACTTCAGATGATGGAGATGCTCTATGCTGTGAACCACCGTGGAAGGTAGAAAGAGATATGCAGATATGTGGCTCATTGATTCGGGAGCAACATATCACATGACCTCAAGAAGAGAATGGTTCCATCATTATGAACCTGTCTCAGGAGGATCTGTGTATAGTTGAAATGATCATGCCTTAGAGATCATTGGCGTGGGAACCATCAAATTAAAGATGTATGATGGAACAATTAAAGTTGTTCGAGATGTGCGGCACGTGAAAGGCCTGAAGAAAAATTTATTATCCTACGAATTGTTGGATAATAATGCAAGTAAGATTGAAACAAGGAAAGAAATCATGAAGGTGTTCCGTGGAGCGCTTGTGGTGCTGAAAGACAAAAAGATAGCTGCAAACTTGTACATGCTGAAGGGAGAAACTTTGCTAGAAGCAGAAACCTCTGTTGCCTCATGTAGTTCAGATTCTGCAATGTTATGGCATCAGAAACTTGGACACATGTCAGAACAAGGAATGAAAGTCCTTGTGGAGAAAAAGCTACTTCCAGGCTTAACAAAAGTATCATTTCCTTTGTGTGAGCATTGCATAACAAGTTAGCAGCACCGGTTGAAATTCAACACGTCAAATTCTAGAGCCAAAAGTGTTCTAGAATTGGTTCACTCTGATGTATGGCAAGCACCAGTTACATCCCTAGGCGGAGCAAAATACTTTGTCTCATTTATTGATGACTACTCCAGGAGATGTTGGGTATACCCTATTAAGAAGAAGTCATATGTGTTTTCCACTTTCAAAAACTTCAAAGCGCGGGTGGAACTTGATTCTGGAAATAAGATCAAGTGTTTTAGAATAGATAATAGAGGAGAATACACAAGTGAATAATTTGATGACTTTTGCAGGAAAGAATGCATCAAAAGACAGTTCACAGTGGCAAACACTCCTCAACAAAATAGAGTGGCAGAGCAGAGCGGATGAACAGAACCTTATTAGAAAGAACAAGAGCAATGTTGAGGGATGCTGGCCTAGAAAAATCATTCTGGGTAGAAGCAGTCAATATCGCCTGTTATTTGGTGAATCGAGCTCCATCAACTGTAATAGAGCTGAAAACACCAATGGAGATGTGGACTGGTAAACCAGCTGATTATTCAAACCTCCATGTATTTGAAAGTATTGTGTACGTGATGTACAACGCCCAAGAAATTTCAAAGTTGGATCCAAAATCCAGGAAATGCAAATTCTTGGGGTATGCTGATGGAGTAAAGGGGTATCGCTTGTGGGATCCCACTGCCCGCAAAGTGATCATTAGCAGGGATGTTATCTTTGTAGAAGATAAGCTACAAAGAAAAGAAGATGATGATAGCGCTGAAAAATCAGAGACTACACAGATACATGTGGAAAAGGAGTTTGAACAAGGAGATTCTTCTGAAGCAGAACCAGCACATGATGAACAAGAACCAGAGAGTTCTGAAGTTTCAATAACTCGTCAATCAGATCGTGTGAGAAGACGTCCCAATTGGCACTCAGATTATGTTATAGAAGGTAATATTGCATACTGCCTTTTAACAGATGACGGTGAGCCATCAACATATCAGGAGGCAATAAACAGCTCAGATGCTTCATTGTGGACGATGGTGATGCAAGAAGAAATTGAAGCCCTTCATAAAAATAATACATGAGACCTTGTGACACTACCACAAGGAAGGAAGCCAATTGGTAACAAATGGGTCTTCAAAATCAAGCGAAATAGTGACGATCAAGTTGAGAGGTATCGTGCAAGACTGGTGGTCAAAGGATATGCTCAAAAAGAAGGTATTGATTTCAATGAAATATTTTCTCTTGTGGTTCGATTAACAACGGTTCGAGTAGTTTTGGCAATATGTGCTACATTGAACTTACATCTAGAGCAGCTAGATGTTAAAAGAGTTTTTCTTCATGGAAATCTTGAAGAAGAGATTTACATGCTCCAACCTGAAGGTTTTGAAGAAAAAGAAAAGAAGAACTTGGTTTGCAGGTTGAACAAATCTCTATGCGGTCTAAAGCAGGCGTCAAGGTATTGGTATAAGAGATTTGATTCCTTCATTATGTGCCTTGGATACAACAGACTTAATGCAGACCCTTGTGCTTATTTCAAGAGGTCTGGTGATAACAATTTTGTTATATTGTTGTTGTATGTGGATGACATGTTGGTTTCAGGACCCAACAAAGATCATATTGAAGAATTGAAGGCACAACTGGCTAGGGAATTTGAAATGAAGGATTTGGGATCAGCAAACAAGATTCTAGGGATACAAATTCACCGAGACAGAAGTAATAGGAAGATTTGGCTTTCACAAAAGAATTACTTAAAGAAGATCTTGTCACGATTCAGCATGCAAGATTGTAAGCCAATTTCTACCTCTCTTCCTATTAACTTCAAATTATCCTTCAGTATGAGTCCTAGCAGTGAAGAAGAGAGGATGGAGATGTCTCGAGTACCGTATGCATCGGCAGTGGGAAGTTTAATGTTCGCTATGATATGCACAAGACCAGACATTGCACAAGCAGTGGGAGTGGTTAGTCGGTACATGGCAAATCCAGGCAAAGAGCATTGAAATACAGTAAAGAGGATCCTGAGATACATCAAAGGGACCTCAAATATTGCATTATGTTACGGAGGATCAAATTTACTTATCAATGGGTATGTTGATTCTGAATATGCAGGGGATTTGGATAAAAGCAAATCTACTACAGGATATGTGTTTAAAGTTGTTGGTGGAGCTGTAAGCTGGGTTTCAAAATTACAGTCAGTTGTGGCTACATCCACAACAAAAGCATAATATGTAGCAGCTACACAAGCCAGTAAAGAAGCAATTTGGTTGAAGATGCTATTGGAGGAGCTTGGGCACAATCAAGAATATGTCTCTCTGTTTTGTGACAGTCAAAGCACCTTGCATCTAGCAAGGAATCCAACATTTCATTCAAGGACAAAGCACATACGAGTTCAGTACCATTTCATTCATGAAAAGGTGGAAGAAGGGACGGTAGATATGCAGAAGATCCATACAAAAGACAACATAGCAGATTTCATGACGAAAGCGATCAATGCTGATAAATTTACCTGGTGTCGATCCTCTTGTGGCATGTCAGAGACGTAAACAACATGATGATACAAGGTAGAAAGAATGGTGTGAAGATATGATTGTTCCAATCAAATCTTCAAGTGGGAGATTATTAGTTGTCATGCAAAATTATTAGTTGTCATGCAACTAATAATAGTTGTATAATGCATAATAATGGTTCATAATGCATTGTAAGTTGGCAACAATAATGGTTCATAGGTGGCACTAATAATGGTTGAAAAGTGACATGACAAAATCTCACATTTAGTCATTGTAATTTAGGGTATTTTCAAGATTAGTCCTTAAAGCTTCTACTATAAATACCCTAGCTCATTTAGCTTCAAAATCATCCCAAAGCATTCTAGCTTTCTTCCAATACTAGAGAGAATTTAGAGAGTTTCTTGAGAGTTGTTTTCTCTTTTTTATCAAAAGAGAATTATCATTGTTTTCTCCTTGGTAAATCGAGAGAGGTTATAATTCCTATTTTCTCATAGTGAAATTCTTCTACCGTTACCCGTGGTTTTTACTCTATATTATTTAGGGGTTTTCCACGTAAATTTTGTGTCTTCTTTATCTTCATTTTTATTTTCTCAAATTATCAGTTACGATTTTTCTCTATCCGATAGCCGTCTTCCGCAACACTTTCAATGAAAATTTTTCCTCTAGTTGTTATGCAGAAAGCAAGGGGAAATGGGCCTCTATATTTCGTTTTAGTTGGTTTTGCATTGTTTGTAACTGGGCTAGGCTGCTATTAACCTTTTCTGGTTAGAGGATTGATGGTTGTTAAGATTTTCACGGGAAAGGTAATTTCTCTAGGAGCTGAACTTGAATTATACATATAGTAGAGAGTTAAAAATATAATTTTACAGTTTTTAAAAGAACTAAATCACCATTTCATCATTTTAGGAGCAAAAATATAATCGTGCATCAAATTATAAATAGATAACTTGAAGAGGGGCCGCTTTATAATTTGACCAATTTTACAATAAGGGGGATTGAGTGTTCCCATGAAGCATGTTTCTTAATCATTGAACTATACGGTTTACAGATATTGGAAGGAACATATCCTCCAAATCCGAGGCAGTCAAAGCTTCCACACTATTAAACTCTTCGCTTCCAAGCATGTCCTTGTCCCTTAATACTCTTTTACTTTCCCTTAATCATCAGATTTAAGCAACTCAAACCCCAGAAGAAATACCAAAAACAAGCATACTGTAAACAACCAAACGTGTACGTGTTTGTCATCACAGACCAGAAAATATCAACATTTGTTTGGAGAATCAGGAATAATGGACCCACGGTTCTGAACATTTCCCACACGTGTCAACCTGTTGTGTTGCATGCATCTTACACCCTTTTACCCCACTATTTTTATACTCTATCCCACTGCCTCCTTTCGCTTTTCATTTCTCTTTACATCAAAAACATAACATCCATGGGGAAACAAGGTTCTGTTTTACACAATAATCCCTCTTTACTTTTCCTGCTGTTATTGCTTTTTGAAGCCACAAACGTTGGTGGAGACGCCCGGTTGAACCACTGGGAATCTGGAATCCGACTGCCTTCAGATGAGCCGCAAGGTGTTGATGATCAGGAACTCGGAACAAGATGGGCTGTTCTCGTGGCTGGTTCAGCTGGCTTTGGTAATTACAGGCATCAGGTAATATTAATAAAGCATTTATCAACTATAATACCACTTACTTTTAGTCTGTAATACTGGTTTGATTACATGGGGATGCAAGTGCAGGCAGATGTATGCCACGCCTATCAGCTGTTAAGGAAAGGAGGATTGAAGGAACAGAACATCATCGTGTTTATGAACGATGACATAGCCATGAATGACCTGAATCCAAGGCCAGGAATCATCATCAACCATCCCCAAGGCGATGATGTTTATGCTGGTGTTCCTAAGGTGATATAGACTGATACTAGTCTTTCCACTCAACTTGGTGTTTGAGCATACTTAATTTTTTATAGTTAATATTGATGGGTCTGTATGGAATGGTAGGATTACACTGGTGAGCATGTTACCGCTGCAAATTTGTATGCAGTACTTCTTGGTAACAGAAGTGCATTGAGTGGTGGAAGTGGAAAGGTTGTTGATAGCAATCCCAATGACAGAATCTTCATATACTACTCGGATCATGGAGGCCCCGGGGTTCTAGGGATGCCAAATATGCCATTTCTGTATGCCATGGATTTTCTTGATGTCTTGAAGAAGAAACATGCAGCTGGAAGCTACAGAGAGACGGTAACAGATCTTCTAGTTTCAAAACAAACCATCCTCTGCAGTTCGATAAATTCAATAATCTTTTGATGAATATTACTTGTATGATGACCTTTTATGTTGCATTTCTGATGCGACCAGGTTATATATGTAGAAGCTTGTGAGAGTGGAAGTATCTTCGAAGGCATAATGCCGAATGATCTTAACATTTATGTAACAACGGCGTCGAATGCGCAAGAGAGTAGTTGGGGAACTTATTGTCCTGGGATGGATCCTCCTCCACCTCCGGAGTTCATCACTTGTTTAGGAGATTTGTATAGTGTAGCCTGGATGGAGGACAGGTATATGCACTTATTCTACTTTGAACTCTTTCAAGACGAGTCCAGTCGGTCACGATCCTATTGATCTGCAGTTATCATCTTAATTGGACTTTGGTTTTAGTTTATGTTTCAAAAACTATTCCGAGCCTTTTTATTTTCTTATGATCTGCAGTGAAACTCACAATCTAAAGAGGGAAACCGTAGAGCAACAATATGAAACAGTAAGCAGCACAAAATTTATGCAAACTATTGCTGTTATAATTTTGAGTTATGGTCTGCTTAAGTCCTCATTGGAAATACTAATGTATGATTATTCTTGAATTTTCATAATGCAGGTAAGGGAACGGACTTCCAATTTCAACGCCGATGCGATCGGTGGATCCCATGTGATGGAATACGGGAATACAAGCATTAAAGCTGAGAAACTTTATTTGTATCAAGGCTTTGATCCTGCTACCGTGAATTTGTCTCCTAATGAATTAAACCACAACACATGCATGGAAGCTATTAACCAGAGAGATGCAGATGTTCTCTTTTTATGGTATATGGTGAGCTTGAGCCCTATCCTTTTTCTTTTCTCCCTCATGGGATATTTGTTTAAAATGATACCGATGTAGGTCGTCTCGTTTGTTATACAGTACAAAAATTCAGAAGACGGATCAAAGAAGAAAGAAATAATGACACAGATTACTGAGACCATGAGGCATAGAATCCACTTGGATGGCAGCATCGACTTGATTGGAACACTCCTTTATGGGCCAGCAAAAGGCTCTGCCATCCTCAACGCCATCAGGGAACCCGGTTTGCCGCTCGTTGATGTCTGGCAGTGCTTGAAACACATGGTATTACTCTCTCTTTCACTCAAAATTTAACTAGCCATATTCCTTCTGCTCTTGAACGTTCAATTAAGTTGCAAAACCAAATGTTGACTCCAGGTCCGGTTGTTCGAGATACACTGCGGATCACTGACTCAATATGGAATGAAGCACATGCGTGCATTTGCCAACATTTGCAACAATGGTGTTTCTCGGTCCTTAATGGAGGAAGCATGCTTCGCGGCATGCGGTGGTCATGATCCGAGACCATGGCATCCTTCAAACCATGGGTATAGCGCTTGATTGATGGATATTAATTCATATTATCATACGTAAATAACCTCTCAAGAGTAGTTGAAGGCATAAATATGTTGCTAAAAACAAAGGAAACGCTTCTGTTTTCTAAATGTTTAAGTCCAAAAGTAAAGAGAAAAAAATGGGCTAAGGTACATGGGTTAGTAGGGGTAAATGAAAGATTAGTTCAAGGCCAAGATTTGGTACTTATACATGTGAGGTCAGCAAATTTTGGTCCTCTATTATAAAATAAACACCTATGATTGGAACTTGTTGCCTTAGTTTCTTTGATTGTTGACCTATATATTCATCATTCTAGCCATGTTCTTCCCCTCTTACCACTATTATTGGGAATCAAATTATTTCATAAGATCATAATTCTGGACTTTTTGATTTATTTCATTAATCAAAGATCTTGTAATCATATTAAATATTGAGATAAAAGAATGTCATTAATGGAGGACCCCAAATATAATTTCCCAAAGATATGCACCGATCTGACAGGTTAAGCAGTTGGTAACTGGGATTTGGGGATTCTCTTTCCTGGTTCCTTTTGTTTGTTTTAGGGTGATTGTGTTTTCTTCGTTAATATATAATAAAATGTTTGTGTATATATTTAGAGTAAAAACTGTTTTATTTATTTGAAATGTATAACAATTGAATAATGAACATCTTCTCTATATTTACAGAAAAATTAGCTGAATCAAATTTTACCCGCCACCGAAGTTAGGGGCGAAACGTAAAATTACAAATAACGGCGGTGTTGTTTCCGTCGGCAATGATCCCAATCGGCAATTCTCATCTTAACCTTCTCAAACTCGGAAATTCCGCAAGGCAACGTGATTCCACCCGATTGATTTAACCCGTAAACCCGCTCCGCATCCTTCAACAGCTCACTGAATAGAGGATGATTAAAATAGATCAAAGGCACCACCACCCTCCTCGTATTTCCTTCCGATTCGCCGATGTACACGGCAAGGTGCCCCTTCGGAACTCCAACCCGCTTCGCTTCCTTTCCTCCCAATTGAATGTAACCCGGATCCGATTCCGAATCACACAGTCCCTTGGTTCCTCGTCGGAGAAACGCCGCGAAAGAGCATAGTCTTGTTAGAGGGCTGCAGTTTCCCAAGAAACTATTCCTCAAGTTTCTTCTTCTTCTAGGTCGTATTATCCAATTTAAAACCTTCACTAGCTTGCGCCCAAGCTTGAACCCTCTGATTTTCTTCATGATCATTACGTTGAGAAATGAAAATTAAACAAATTTGTTAATGCCTCTGTTTCTCTTTCGTTTTGTGTTTTTTCTTCAGGGGTTTTGAGTTTGGTGGTTATGGGGGATGCTTTGGTTCGAGAATTGGAGGAGGACAAGAGAATAAGGTTGCATTATTTGGAGGAGATTGAGAGATGTTTATATAGAAGATTTTTCTACGGTGTCAGGTTTTAGGTTTACTGTGGTGTAAGAAAAAAGAAAACAGAGATCGCAGAAAATATATGGTAATGGTCGGCGGCAGGCGCGCTGTAGTGACCAACAAGCGGCGATGCAAAAGTAATATAGAATTCAGGGTAAATTCAATATTTAGTCATTTAACTATGTTTTCGGTTATTTTTTATCATCCAATTATATTTTTTTAAAACAAAATAAAAACTGAAATTTAGATATAATTTTTTAAACAAAATAGTTGAGTGATCGAAATGATTCTACAAAAATGATTCAGTGAACGTAGCCTATAATTTATTATTTTTAAATGAAATTTTCAAAATTGATGTTATCATGAATGATTGAGGACGGACGGGTGAGAGCAGTCGCATCATGAAATTTTAAATTTACTCATGTTTTAGGTTTTTTGTATATTTTTTTAATTATCTATTTTTACCTCTTAAATTTTTATAAGTTTGTTTCATCTAAAATTTTATAAATTCGTTTTTCTAACATAAAAACATACATCATTTCCTGGATATTATAAATATTTAAAACTAAATAATATGCTAAAAATGTTTGTGTTATGCATATTGATTTTGTAATACATCCTTTAATATTATTATCGTAATTCATATCTCAATTGTTTTAAGAAATGTGGTCTATATTTTTTATTGACAAATCTTTCCTATGATCGGACTGAAGATCGAATTGCGGCTCTACGGTTTCCCAAGAGGCAGGATTTAAATTAATTATTTGTCTAACTAGGTTTGGCAATCCGATTACTGGAATCTTTGCTTATTCAATTCTGATTCGATATAATAATAAAAAATTGGAAACTCGATTCTACTTTGATTTAATATGTTTTTAAATTTTCATATATTTTATTAAAATAAAATTTAATTAATTTAATAATAAAAAATAAAAGCAAATTTAAATATTATATCATAATTCTAGTACTTTGTAAGTTAAATTTGTATTTATATTTTTATCATATCTTAATTAATAATACATAAATTCATAAAATATTTTTTTATTAATTATTCGAGTTAATTGCACCATATGTCTCTAAACTATGATTCTCATTTTAAATTAGACCCTAAACTTTTGAACATAACCAACTTTTTTTGGATTTGTCAAAATGACCAACAAAATCGCAATGCGAAATAAAAATCGCAACGCGATCTCCAGAATCGCAAATCAGTTCCCATAATCACAACGCGATTATGAAGAATCGCAATGCGATAGTACAAATTCGCATTGCGATTTTCCAGAATCGCAACGCGGATATGAAAATCGCAACGCGAACATATAAATCGCAACGCGATTCTGACTATCGCAACGAGTATCCATAAAATCGCAACGCGTATCCGTAAATCGCAACGAGAATACGTAAATCGCAACGCGTATCTGTAAATCGCAACGAGAATACGTAAATCGCAATGCGTATCCGTAAATCGCAACGACAATACGTAAAATCGCAATGCGTATCCGTAAATCGCAACGCGATTTTTAAAGCGCCATTATAATCGCTACGAGTATTTTATTTTCAAATTCCAAACACGAATATTAATTATCGGAACACTGAACCGTTCACAATATATCCCGTAATCGCAACTCATAACCTAAAACCTAAAAAAAATCACAACTCAGTCCCATCTCCATCTCTCACTCTCTACGGCGAAATCCGTCCCTATCTCCGGCGAAATCCCTCACAATCATTCAGAAATGGAAAATCAACCTCCGAGAGTTAGTTTTTTTAATTATTTTTATTTTAAAATTTTTGCATTATTTTAGGTTTTTTATATTGAAATTGATGATAAGTTTACTGGTAATTTCAATAATAGATTAACCATTTCACTTAGATTTCTTATTAAATTCATTCGATTGCCGCCAATACTGCTAAACTGTTTAGTCTTTAACCCTGTGAAGTTAGTATTTGTCTTTGTTTTGTCTTTTGGTTGAAGTAATGCAATCAATTAAAGTTTCAATTTGCAGAAGAATAATAGTTTCTAAACTTAAAATCGCAACATGAAAATGAAAATCGCAACAAGAAAATGACTATCGCAACGAGAGAAATGAAAATCGCAACGAGAGAATCGCAACGCGAAATGAAAATCGCAATGAGATAATCGCAACGCGAAACCAAAATCGCATTGCGATTTTCATTTCGCGTTGCGATTCTCTCGTTGCGATAGTCATTTCCGCGTTGCGATTTTCATTCTCTTGTTGCGATTTTCATTTCAACCAAAAGACAAAACAGTGTTGCAAATTTTAGTTTCAAGAATAAACTACTACTCTTTATGTTTATTGTTTTTGGTATATCTTCACTGTTTAAATATCATGTTTGTTTATTTACTGATTTTTGTATTTAATTATTTAGTGGCCCGATAAGGTGGATGCTTTACGTCGGGTTTTTCTTGCAAGACAGAGTTCACGCATCAGACGGCGTGCACGTGCTATTAAGTCTCCATACACCCCAATAGTAAGAAGACACCGCAAGAAGAAGCCCGACTCGCATGTCATCCCTCAAGAGTCCACTCCTATCGTTGAAGAGGCCCCTATCATTCCTTGAGAGTCCTCTCCCACCGTTCAAGAGGCCACTGTCATCGTTGAAGAGGTCCCTCCCACCATTCAAGAGCCCCGATTCACATGGCGTCATATGTAAGATTCTTGAGAAACCCTCTGACGTGCCGGACATGATGGATGAGAGTTGGCTCTCGTATGAGTTACCGGCCAGTACCATTCCGGTATCTGAAGTGGAGATGAGACAACTACCAGACACAATTCTGGATAACACCCTTTGGGCTAAGACCGCAGTTGATTTTTATCTACATGAGCGGAGCCAAGGGTGTATCACTGACATATGCAAGCTCAACGATGATATCTATTTGTTGCTTGATCGGTCTTAGTGGGGCATATTATTAGGGGTCGAAGACAATGGCTATTTCGATGGAGGGTAAGTCTTATATTTTTCTTATATTTCAATTTGATTTTTTTTTTTAAATTTATGTAAGTTACTAATATATGTCTTTTTTTTTGTAAAACAGCATATCGATGCGTGGGTGTCACGTCTTCTAATAATTAGGAAACTTAAGAAAAATAAAAAGAAATACACAATATACAATTATGCCGACGTCTTTTAACGTCGTTCACTTGAAGAATCAACGAGATGAATCATTTGCGTTGGGCAATGGACAAGCTAAACTTTATCCTGGATGGTGGGAGGTCGATAAGGTTAGTATTTATTTTAGATTGAGTTTAAAGGTATTCATAAATAAGTGCACAAATGAATGAATTATTACTTATGATTGCAGGTGTTTATCCCTGTTTTGGAAAGTAAACATTGGCTTCTCGTCGAGCTTCAGCTCCCATCCCTTAAGGAAATAGTATATGACAGTATGATAAATTACATATCATTGGCTGATTTAAGAGATATTATTAAGGGATGGAGCTCTCATTTGGTTAAATTCTTGGATGCGATAAATTATTAGACTCGTTCTGGAAACAAGAAGCCAAAGAAGCTCAATATTACAGTTAGCAGAGATGAGACCGCGCCACAACAAACGAAGGAACCCAGAGGGGATTGTGGTCCTCTCGTATACATGTGCCTGGAGCGTTTGACGACAGGAAGTACACATTTTCTACCTCCCACCAATAGAGATAGAGGTGCAATAGGCTTGTGGTTTCGGCATTTTATGGCTAGAGCGATATATGCGAGACACTTCCTACCTGCATCCGCGTTATGAAAGTGTCCATAAACAATTGGTAATTTATAGGCTTTTGGTTTAAAAATGTTTGGTTAAGTACCTAGAATTCAATAATTTATTGTTTGTAGGTTTTAGATGTGTAGAAAGTGTTGTTTGAGCAAATGTTTGGTTTCTGCAGGTTAATCTCAGAAGTGAGCTGCGTGAAAATGATGTATGGCTGCAAAAGTTGATTCAATAGTAGATGAGGAAATAAGAATTATTGCTTATTTTTTGATTGTTTAATTGATTTGTAAAAGTTGATTTGTTTAATTGATGTGAACATAATTCTTATTTGTGCTTGTTTAATTGATTGAAATGTAATGGTTGATTTTGTTGATTTCAATCTGCATTATGTTGAAGGCAAAAATGACTATCGCAATGCGAAATGAAAATCGCAACGAGAGAATCGCAATGCGAAATTAAAATCGCAACGACAAAATCGCAATGCGAAACTAAATTCGCGTTACGATTTTCATTTCGCATTGCGATTCATTCGTTGCGATTTTCATTTCGCATTGCGATTCTCTCGTTGCGATTTTCATTTCACATTGCGATAGTCATTTTTGCGTTGCGATTTTCACGTTGCGATTTTCATTTCGCATTGTGATTCTCTCGTTGCGATAGTAATTTCCGCGTTGCGATAGAAATTAAGATGATTGCGAACGTCATTTCCTTGTTGCGATAGTCAAATGAATGCCTAATAAGTGATAACAACTGAACAAATCATAGCAATTTTCAAACTCAAGTTACTAATACATGCCTAACTAAAAATGTTAAAAGTTCACACATAAAATCCACATAATACAACGTTTGCATTTAAAAAATCACCTAAGTTAACAGTCCCAAAAGGTGAAGCCGGTTGTGATTGGGATTTTAAAGATGATTGCGATTTTGATTGCCTTTTGCTTGACACCATATGAGCTTTGGATTTTGATGAGGATCCATATTTTGGTAGAGGAAAAGATGATTGTGATGGCACTGGTGATCCACATGTCAACCTTGTATGACCACTTTCCTTGCACAGACTACATGTCGATCTCTTCTTCTATTCACCCTTAGACGGTATACGATCGTGACTTTTTGGTCGGCCAGGTAGTCTTCTGTCCATGGCTGGTGACAAAACTGTTTGTAAGTCATCTGGTATGTCCCACTCAGAAGGATGTGGAATAAGGTAGACAATCTCGCCATAAGTATATCGATATACTTCTGTAGTGTAGCAATCCATAGCGTATGCGCTTGAATCATCTTGGTTTAGATGAAGAGAAACTTTTATAACATGGCCACACGGATAACCAGATGTTTTCCATTTCATACAACTACACGTCTTTGCATTTAGATCGACAAGCCCATTTAAGTTATTATCCAGTACTTCAAACAAGTGTTTGAACATGGTTCAACTCTCCATGACGTTGACTTCACAACACGTTTCGTTGTCTTTTTTCTGTCCATGATGTAACACGATGTTCCAATGTTCCTGTAAATTTAAATAATAATACTTAGTAAAATATATGATAAGTTACGATTTAAAGAAATAATACCTGCATGGTTTCTTTTCTTGTAGTACCACTGTTGAATAGAGGCTCGAAAAAACTCCATTAACATAGTAATGGGTAATTTCCGGGAATGACGACTTAGAGCGTTGATTGATTCTGCACTATTAGACGTCATGAAACCATATCTTGCTCCAAGTTGATGTACTCTTGACCATCTTTCAAACCCGACATCTTCTAGTGTTTGAGCACACTGAGGCAAAACATGTCTTAAACAGTTTATATGCTTATTAAAATCCACTTCCCGATAAGCTTTTACAGCATTCCAGTATGTCCATTTGTGATTTTTTATACCAGCAGACCTTGATTTTAGATTTCTATACAAATGAACACCACAAAGTCCATGAAAAGCATCTGGGAAACACCTTCTAACAGCGTTGTCAATTAAGTTTGCCCTATCGGATATGATTGTCAGATTGCTAATAGGAACTATGCAATCCCTAAGATGCCCCATAAACCATGTCCATGAATCAGAGGTTTCAAATTTGCCAACCCCGTAAGCTATTGGCAGTATCTCATTGTTAGCATCCATGGCTACTGCTAATAAGTTTACTCCAAGGTATCGACCTTTTAAATGTGCTCCGTCAACTATAATAACTGGGCGCATGCAATTAATAAACGAACGAATCTACAAAATCATATACACAAGAAATATAATCATTTAAATGTGAAATGCATGTAACTAACAAAAATGAGTCAACAAAATTATATTGATTTACTAACCGCAGCACCAATGGCGATAAACATCAACTCAAAGCGTCCATCTCTATCTGTTACGATTTTTCTATATCCGATAGCCGTCTTCCGCAACACTTTCAATGAAAATTTTTCCTCTAGTTGTTATGCAGAAAACAAGGGGAAATGGGCCTCTATATTTCGTTTTAGTTGGTTTTGCATTGTTTGTAACTGGGCTAGGCTGCTATTAACCTTTTCTGGTTAGAGGATTGATGGTTGTTAAGATTTTCACGGGAAAGGTAATTTCTCTAGGAGCTGAACTTGAATTATACATATAGTAGAGAGTTAAAAATATAATTTTACAGTTTTTAAAAGAACTAAATCACCATTTCATCATTTTAGGAGCAAAAATATAATCGTGCATCAAATTATAAATAGATAACTTGAAGAGGGGCCGCTTTATAATTTGACCAATTTTACAATAAGGGGGATTGAGTGTTCCCATGAAGCATGTTTCTTAATCATTGAACTATACGGTTTACAGATATTGGAAGGAACATATCCTCCAAATCCGAGGCAGTCAAAGCTTCCACACTATTAAACTCTTCGCTTCCAAGCATGTCCTTGTCCCTTAATACTCTTTTACTTTCCCTTAATCATCAGATTTAAGCAACTCAAACCCCAGAAGAAATACCAAAAACAAGCATACTGTAAACAACCAAACGTGTACGTGTTTGTCATCACAGACCAGAAAATATCAACATTTGTTTGGAGAATCAGGAATAATGGACCCACGGTTCTGAATTTCCCACACGTGTCAACCTGTTGTGTTGCATGCATCTTACACCCTTTTACCCCACTATTTTTATACTCTATCCCACTGCCTCCTTTCGCTTTTCATTTCTCTTTACATCAAAACATAACATCCATGGGGAAACAAGGTTCTGTTTTCCACAATAATCCCTCTTTACTTTTCCTGCTGTTATTGCTTTTTGAAGCCACAAACGTTGGTGGAGACGCCCGGTTGAACCACTGGGAATCTGGAATCCGACTGCCTTCAGATGAGCCGCAAGGTGTTGATGATCAGGAACTCGGAACAAGATGGGCTGTTCTCGTGGCTGGTTCAGCTGCTTTGGTAATTACAGGCATCAGGTAATATTAATAAAGCATTTATCAACTATAATACCACTTACTTTTAGTCTGTAATACTGGTTTGATTACATGGGGATGCAAGTGCAGGCAGATGTATGCCACGCCTATCAGCTGTTAAGGAAAGGAGGATTGAAGGAACAGAACATCATCGTGTTTATGAACGATGACATAGCCATGAATGACCTGAATCCAAGGCCAGGAATCATCATCAACCATCCCCAAGGCGATGATGTTTATGCTGGTGTTCCTAAGGTGATATAGACTGATACTAGTCTTTCCACTCAACTTGGTGTTTGAGCATACTTAATTTTTATAGTTAATATTGATGGGTCTGTATGGAATGGTAGGATTACACTGGTGAGCATGTTACCGCTGCAAATTTGTATGCAGTACTTCTTGGTAACAGAAGTGCATTGAGTGGTGGAAGTGGAAAGGTTGTTGATAGCAATCCCAATGACAGAATCTTCATATACTACTCGGATCATGGAGGCCCCGGGGTTCTAGGGATGCCAAATATGCCATTTCTGTATGCCATGGATTTTCTTGAAGTCTTGAAGAAGAAACATTCTAGGGTACCGATTCCCTCACTGTTCATCAGCCCAACGGTCATAATATTTGAATATTATGAAGGGGTATCGATTCCCTATGAAGGGGTACCGATTCCCCCCATTCTGGGCAGCCTATTTTTGTAGAAAAATCATTCTCAAACGGCTCCAAAACATCCCCAACGGCTAGATATGACTTCAAACACATTCCAAGCTATAAATACAAGCTAAGGACACTTGAAGAAGTAAGAGAACAACTATCCAAGTAATCAAACACAAGAGAAGAGTTTTTCATTCTTATTTCATCTTTCTCTTGTAAATATTTTGTTCTTGTGAGCTTAATTCTTGTAAACACCTACCTTAGAGAGGTTTTATTGTTTACATCTTTTATCCTTTTGTAAAGGGGAAAGGTTCTAGTTTAGCCCGTGTAAAAGCTAGGGAAGGTTCTAGTTTAGCCCGGAAAAACTAGGGAGTTGTAAGGTTATCTCTTTGTCCTCAAAAGAAAGAACAAATTAGTCAATTTGTTGGAAAATCCTTGGTGAGGAGCTAAGGTAGTAGACATATACTTTGATTGAGAAAGTCAAACCACTATAAATCGCTGATCAATTCTCTATCTTTCAATCTCCTTACTCCCTAAACACAAAATCGTTCCGACCCCTCTTTGCAAAATCGTTCCGGTTGTCGTTTCGAGCTTCCAAAAATCCTAACACGTTGCGATTCTGGAAAATCGCAATGCGAATTTGTACTATCGCATTGCGATTCTTCATAATCGCGTTGCGATTCTGGGAACTGATTTGCGATTTTGGAGATCGCGTTGAGATTTTTATTTCGCATTGCGATTTTGTTGGTCATTTTGGCAAATCCAAAAAAAGTTGGTTAAAATCGTATATTATAAGGCATTTTTTGTCACTGAGGTTATTTTCTCTTATTATAAACCACGCGATGTCTAATTAGCATATCCCTTACGAGTATTGGTATAATTTTGTAGGCTAAAGTACATATATGGTGATACTAATTTGTTGAGTTTTTTTTAGTAGGGAAAATCTCACGTGCAGCGTTAATATACATTTAAAGAAATGCGCTAATCTTTTATTATTATTTTTTTTAACAAAATCGGTAAAAAATTACTAGAAACATTATTATTTTTGCCGATTTTGTTATTATTGGGCACTTTGCCGGAAATGTTAAAAAACATTAATGTTTTAGGTAATTTTTTACCGATTTTGTTAAAAAATAATAACAAAACCAGTAGCGTCTTCTATAGACGTATATTAAGGTTGACGCACGGTAAACTTCTCATACATAAATGGTTTCAACTCTTTTGTTGAGATTTTTTTGACTATGTTTATAAAATTTTTTGTTGAGTTTCTCTTTAAATTATAAAGTATTGTTTTATTGAGTCTTTTAAACTATTCAAAAGTATAATATGGTCATCCGATCATAGGATATTGTAAATGTCATTGTCTCTAGTTTGGGTCTAAATTGCCCAACTGCAAATGAGACAAGATAGATCGTGAGCTACTTGAGATCGACTTGATCAAAACTCAATAGATACTCTACTTAAAAGGACTCGACTCGAGTTTTTAATGAGTCAAAACGAGTTACTTGATAATCTACTTGAAAAGCTCACGAGCAATAATATAATACTCTACTTAAAAAGACTCGACTCGAGTTTTTAATGAGCCAAAACGAGTTACTTGATACTCTACTCGAAAAGCTCACGAGCAACTTAAAAAAATAATATATTAATTTAAAAAAATAAACTAGTAATAATTTACTTTCATGTGTTGACTTTTTTTATAAAAAAAATATAGTTTAGATTTCATATAGAGGTGTTCATTTTTTGAGTTTAACCAAATTAACTTACCGAACCATATTAGTTTAGTTAATTCAGTCGGTCACCGAATTAATTCTGTCGGTGAACGATTAATTACCCGAATTAACCGATAATATTAAATATTATATATGTTATATATATAAATACATATGTTAAGCTCAAATATATTGAGAATTAAGACTCAATTATTTTTTAGCGATACTAAACTCATTAATTATCAAAACCTAATTAAATTTTAACTCAAATAAAAAATACTTTTATTAATTCAAATTAACCTAACTAAAAAAATTATATAAATTTTTTTGTTTATCCAACTTTGATCAATTCGGTTAATATTAAAAAAAAGTTTGGTACGGTTAACGGTTAAAGAAAAAAAGTTTGGTTAGTTCGGTTAATGGGAGTTCGGTTCTGTCGGTGACCGAGTTAACCGAATGAACAATCATTTTTTCATATACTTAAGGTTCGAGTTCCAGTTGAGCTTCAACTGAGTTTAGTTTAAGATTTTTTTATTTCAAGTTTTTTCGAGTTTCAATTCATGGTTTCAAATTCTAGTCGAGTTTGAAAATTTTATAATTTTCAAATTATAAAAGATGATTGTGATGGCACTGGTGATCCACATGTCAACCTTGTATGACCACTTTCCTTGCACAGACTACATGTCGATCTCTTCTTCTCTTCACCCTTAGACGGTATACGATCGTGACTTTTTGGTCGGCCAGGTAGTCTTCTGTCTATGGCTGGTGACAAAACTGTTTGTAAGTCATCTGGTATGTCCCACTCAGAAGGATGTGGAATAGGGTAGACAATCTCGCCATAAGTATATTGATATACTTATGTAGTGTAGCAATCCATAGCGTATGCGCTTGAATCATATTGGTTTAGATGAAGAGAAACTTTTATAACATGGCCACACGGATAACCAGATGTTTGCCATTTCATACAACTACACGTCTTTGCATTTAGATCGACAAGCCCATTTAAGTTATTATCCAGTACTTCAAACAAAGTGTTTGAACATGGTTCAACTCTCCATGACGTTGACTTCACAACACGTTTCGTTGTCTTTTTTTCTGTCCATGGTGTAACACGATGTTCCAATGTTCCTGTAAATTTAAATAAATAATACTTAGTAAAATATATGATAAGTTACGAATTTAAAGAAATAATACATGCATGGTTTCTTTTCTTGTAGTACCACTGTTGAATAGAGGCTCGAAAAACTCCATTAACATAGTAATGGGTAATTTCCGGAATGACGACTTAGAGCGTTGATTGATTCTGCACTATTAGACGTCATGAAACCATATCTTGCTCCAAGTTGATGTACTCTTGACCATCTTTCAAACCCGACATCTTCTAGTGTTTGAACACACTGAGGCAAAACACGTCTTAAACAGTTTATATGCTTATTAAAATCCACTTCCCGATAAGCTTTTACAGCCTTCCAGTATGTCCATTTGTGATTTTTTATACCAGTAGACCTTGATTTTAGATTTCTATACAAATGAACACCACAAAGTCCATGAAAAGCATCTGGGAAACACCTTCTAACAGCGTTGTCAATTAAGTTTGCCCTATCGGATATGATTGTCAGATTGCTAATAGGACCTATGCAATCCCTAAGATGCCCCATAAACCATGTCCATGAATCAGAGGTTTCAGATTTGCCAACCCCGTAAGCTATTGGCAGTATCTCATTGTTAGCATCCATGGCTACTGCTAATAAGTTTACTCCAAGGTATCGACCTTTTAAATGTGCTCCGTCAACTATAATAACTGGGCGCATGCAATTAATAAACGAACGAATCTACAAAATCATATACACAAGAATATAATCATTTAAATGTGAAATGCATGTAACTAACAAAAATGAGTCAACAAATTATATGATTTACTAACCGCAGCACCAATGGCGATAAACATCAACTCAAAGCGTCCATCTCTATCTGTTTTGATATGAGTTACCAACCCAGGATTTTCAGCTTTAAATTGTGACAATAAGCCGGCAGTGGGCAAACGATGCTTCTGGCGACCCCCTCAACAATTCCACGGCATAACATTTGGCTCTCCAAGCTTGAGAATATGAGATACTAATCTTGAACCGAGCATTCATGTCAGTCATAATTTCATGTCCCCGATATACCCTACCATTCAAAAACATTAACTCAGCCGAAAACCACCCAACACCTTTTTGTTTGCCTGTCTATGGTGAGGAAAACTTGGGTTCTTGAACATGTATGTTTATCAATAAAAGTCCTAACTTGAAAAACATTTCGCAATCTTTTATCCTCTTTGCAATCATACACCCACATACAGTTTTTGTCATCATACACCTTGTTTCGAAACGATCTTTGCTTGATTTGTTAACTTTTAGTTGATAGCCATCTTCCACACATTTCGTATACAAAGCTATCTTCAAGTCTTCCTTTGTATCAAAACAATCATCTTTCTTGATACGAATAATTTTTGTGTAACAATCAACTGCTATCTTACCAACTCTTCTTCCGGTATCTGAAGTAATTCTGGCATATTCCAGTTATACTCCCGTTGCATTTTCTTGGGGACTTTCTTTGGGGGTTTCTTCTTCTTCTTTTCTTCTTCAGTGTTATATGAATTACAGAATGGATGTTCAACATGTTCATTTACAGTCGTAACTTCCTCCTCATTATCATCAACAACATCTTCCTCGACAACGGCTGTTTCATCATCAAAATTTAGGTATTGACCAATATCAAAATCATTACACGCAAGGTCTGTTTCTTCTTCTGAAAAATCATCAAAATCCGATTATTGACCAAGATCAAAGTCCGGGTATTGACCAAGATCAATTTTTGAATACTGACTAGTACTCATAATTTTTTCTGTTGGCTCATCATCGTCTAACTGGTCAATACGAAAACCGGAATTTGGTGCTGAAAGTTTATTGGGATTTGGATTAGGGAAAGGTTGTGGGTTTGAGATTGTGTTTGGTATTAGAAATATGGTGAAACAATATTTGCTTGGTGATGAAATTGTGGTGGAACCATTAAATTTTGAGCACCATAAACTAGGGTTGAAAAACTTAGTTGATTACTACCCGCTACTGACCCAACTTCACTACTTCTAGGTTTAACAACATACAATGTAACATCATCACTTGAAACACTAATGTAAGCAATGAATCGTTCAACATCTTCATTGTCGGTTAACAAATAAACTTTACCATTT